GGTTTTGCATGTACCCTTGAAAGAGAGACGGACCCAAATGGAAAATCATGGGACCCACATGGTTTGCTGAAAGCCGTATCTAGAAATATCTAGCAACAGGCTAGCAGCTAGGACATTTATCGCAGAGTAGTTGTTCATAGCAGAAACCCTTATTTTGAAATATTCTATCTGTTGTTTTCCCTTTTTGGAAAAATTATATCTTTGATTTTTAATTATATTATTCTAACTGTCTTTTTTCCTATCTATTCTAACTCATTTTTTGATAGACTTTTGAAATGTGCATTTTCATTTACTCTAAAAGATTCATTCTATCTGCTAGCCCGATACCAGTAGAGCCGGCAAAGCCGGAGGGCGGAAGTTTCAAAAATATAAACACTATAGTTTTGTGTCTCTTTCTTTTCTTTCTTCTTCCTCCTGTTCCCGGTTTCTCTTTGTTCCGTCATTCTGTGTGTCTTCCTTTCTTTCTTTCTTTCTTTCTTTCTTTCTTTCTTTCTTTCTTTCTTTCTCTCCTTCCTTCCGCCCTTCTTTTTCTTTCTTTCTTTACTTATTTCTTTCTTTCTTTCTTTTGTTTTGCTTGTTTTTGCGTTCTTTCTTTTATCTCTTCTCTATCTATGTATCTATCTGCCTACCTATCTATCTATCTCTCTTTGTGTCTATCTATCTTTCTTTGTATCTATTTAATTAAATATCTGTCTATCTATCTTTCTATCGATCTATCTATTTATCTCTCTATCTATCTATCTAACTACCTACCTATCTATCTTTCTATCTCTCTATCTCTCTATCTCTCTATCTATCGATCTATCTATCTATCTCTCTATCTATCTATCTCTCTTTCTACCTATCTATCTATCCATCTCTCTCTCTCTCTCTCTCCATCCACCTCTCGTGTATCTATCTATATATATATATATATCTATCCATCTATCTATCTATCTCTCACTCTCTGTATCTATCTATCTATCTTCCTCTCTATCTATCTCTCTATCTATATCTATCTATCTATCTATCTATCTATATATCTATTTATCTATCTCTCTATCTTTCTATCTGTCTATCTCTCTCTTTCTCCATCTATCTCTTGTGTATCTATCTATCTCTGTATCTATCTACCTATCTCTCTATCTATCTATCTATCTATCTATCTATCTATCTATCTATCTATTTATCTATATATCTATCTATTTATCTATCTATCTATCTATCTATCTATCTATCGTCCTCTCTATCTGTCTCTCTATCTATATCTATTTATCTCTCTATCTATATCTCTATCTTTCTATCTATTTATATCTCTCTTTATCCTTCTATCTCTCGTGTATCTATCTATCTCTGTATCTATCTACCTATCTCTCTATCTATCTATCTTTCTATCTATCTATGCATCTATCACTCTATCTATCTATCGTTCTTTCTTTCTTTCTATCTATCTCTTTATCTGTCTGTCTATCTATCTATCGGTCTATGTGTTTATCTATCTATCTATCCATCTATCCATCTATCTCTCTCTCTCTCTTTATCTATCTATCTATCTATCTGTCTTTCTATCTCTCGTGTATCTACCTGTCTCTCTATCTCTCTATCTATCCATCTCTTTCTCTGTTATACATCTACCTATCTATCTATATACCTATCCATCTATCTATCTACTATCTCTCTCTTTTTTATCTATCTATTTATTTCTAACTATCTATCTATCTATCTATCTCTCTCTCTCTATCCATCTATCTCTCTCCTTTTGTCTATCTACCATCTCTCTATCTATCTGTTTATTTATCTATTTGTGTATCTATCTACTTTCTATCTAATCTATCTATCTATCTACGTTCTATCTATTTTTTATCTAATCTATCTATCTATCTATTTATCTATCTATCTACATATCATCCATTTATTTATTCTCTCCTTTTTTCTATCTACCTATCTCTTTATCTATCTATTTATCTATCTATCTGTGTATCTATCTTCTTTCTATCTACTGTCTATCTAGTCTTTCTATTTATTTGTTTATCTATCTATCTATCTATCTATCTATCTCTCTCTCTCTCTGTATCTATCTATCTATCTATATTCCTCTCTATTTATACCTCTATCTATATCTATCTATATCTCGATCTATTTCTGTATCTTTCTATCTATCTATCTGTCTCTTTCTCCATCTATTTCTCGTGTATCTATCTATCTCTGTATCTATCTACCTATCTCTCTATCTATCTATTTTTCTTTTTATCTATGCATCTATCACATCTATCTACCGTTCTTTATTTCTTTCTGTCTATCTCTCTATCTCTCTGTCTATCTATCTATCGGTCTATATGTCTATCTATCTATCTATCTATCCATCTATCCATCTATCCCTCTCTCTCTCTCTTTATCTACCTGTCTCTCTATCTCTCTATCTATCCATCTCTCTCTCTGTTGTCTATCTACCTATCTATCTATCTACCTATCCATCTATCTATCTATCTATCTATCTCTCTCTCTCTATCCATCTATCTCTCTCCTTGTATCTATCTACCCATCTCTCTATCTATTTGTTTATTTATCTATCTGTCTATCTATCTACTTTCTATCTAATCTATCTATCTATCTACTTTCTATCTACTTTTTATCTAATCTATCTATCTATCTATCTATCTACCTATCATCCATCTATCTATTCTCTCCTTTTATCTATCTACCTATCTCTCTATCTATCTATTTATCTATCTGTCTCTTTATCTTCTTTCTATCTACTTTCTATCCAGTCTTTCTATCTATCTATCTATCTACCTATCTATATTTCTATTTATTTATCTCTCTCTCTTTTTATCTTTCGATCAATCTATCTATCTATCTATCTACCTATCATCCATCTATCTATCTATCCATCTATCTATCTATCTGTCTATCTATCTCTCTATCTATCTATCTCTCTATCTGTCTATCTATCTATCTATCTATCTATCTATCTATCATTCTATCTATCTATATGTTTATTTATCTATCTACCTATCTATCTATTTATCTGTTTATCTATCTATCCATCTATCTATTTATCTATCTATCTATCTCTCTCTCCTTTAGTGCTGCACTTGACCTTGCGAAAGTGCTGCACCTGCCACGAAATCTGTGCCTGACCTTGCCAAAGTGCTGCGCCTGCCACGAAATCTGAATTTGACCTTGCGAAAGTGCTGCGCCTGCCACGAATTCTGCACTTGACCCTGCGAAAGTGCTGCACCTGCCACAAATTCTGCACTTGACCTTGCGAAAGCGCTGCGCCTGCCACAAAATCTGCACTTGACCGTGCGAAAGTGCTGCGCCTGCCACGAAATATGTACTTGACCTTGCTGAAAGTGCTGCGCCTGCCACGAAATCTTTACTTGACCTTGCGAAAATGCTGCGCCTGCCAGGAAATCTGCGCCCGACCTTGCCAAAATGCTGCGCCTGCCATGCAATCCAAACCCTGCGAAACCTCTGCGTCGCCGTGCCAATGGGCCCGGCGCCGAATCTGATCCGAGACCGCTCCGAGCATGCTCCGAGCCCGCTCCGACCAGACGCCGCGGACAGGCTAGCTTTCGCATCTCCGGAGACGCCGATTCGCGCACAGCGCCACGCTTTTTGCGACTTTCTCATCTCCGAAAACGCCGATTCACGCACAGGGCCATGTTTTTTGCTACTTTCTCTTCCCCTGCCACACGCGCGCGCATTTTTCCTCGTGGGCTTATTCCTTCTCTTGTCATTTGTTTGAAAGAGCTAGCTTTCAATTAGTTGCCGTAACACGGAAGTTCCTTCTAAACTTCCTTTGACTATAAACACAAACGCAAACACAAAAACACCACACACACACCCACCCACGCACGCAAGCACGCACGCACAACACACAGACAGACAGACAGACAGACAGACAGACAGACAGACAGACAGACAGACAGACAGACAGACAGGGACAGACAGACAGACAGACAGACAGACAGACAGACAGACAGACAGACAGACAGAAACACAGAAACACAGACACACAGACACACAGACACACAGACACACAGACACACAGACACACAGACACACAGACACACAGACACACAGACACACAGACACACAGACACACAGACACACAGACACACAGACACACAGACACACAGACACACAGACACACAGACACACACACAGACACACAGACACACAGACACACAGACACACAGACACACAGACACACAGACACACAGACACACAGACACACAGACACACAGACACACAGACACACAGACACACAGACACACAGACACACAGACACAGACACACAGACACACAGACACACAGACACGCAGACACACACACACACTCACACACACACACACACCCACACACCCACACACCCACACCCACACCCACGCACGCACCCACCCACCCACCCACACCCACCCACGCACGCAGGCACGCACGCACGCACGCATGCACGCACGCCCGCCCGCCCGCCCGCACGCACGCACGCACGCGCGAACGCACGCATGGCGCCGCACCACACGGCACAGCACGGCACTGCGCTGCACTGCACTTCACGCCAGGTACGTGTGCTTCCAGACATACTTACAAGTCTGGAAAATCCTAGAGGCTCCAGCGATGCGCAAACAACACCGTTCGGCGCAAACTGCATGGGCCGCGGTGTGGTCAACAAAGCGCACGATTTCACGCCAATGCGCGCGGAATTCTTGCCAAAGCGCGCAGTTTTCTCGCCAAAGCGCACGTGTTTGGCATCGTTTTCTGCAAACGGCACTAGACGGCGTCGTTTGTTAAAAGGATGTCCAAAGCACGCTGTTGGAGCCTCTAGGTATGGGGGGTCCTTCACCCAATGCACCAAAACCTCCTACGCACCTGGTGCGGATGGGGTTTATGCCGGCGTTGTATATGATCCTGATTTGGATCAGTACTTGGTTCAGACGCTGGATGCCACGAGCCCGCACGATGGAGGTGCTCGGTTGTCTTTTCTAGCCCTCAACATGGTGGCATTTGCCACAGCGATGGACTTGACACTGGGCAACCTCGCGGCGACGGAGATGGATGATGAGCCTACGGAGGTCCAAGGAGGAGGAGCGGCTGTCCCGCCAGAGCCTGCCGTGCAGTGGGCCTTCACTACGGCACGCCCGGGCACTACGGAGAGGAAGAGAGTGATGGAGGTAGATCAGCCCAGTGGGTATGCGTCCTTGTTTGCGGCCATGCAAGAAGAGGTTGCGCCCCGGCTGCAAAGCCCAAGGCTGCCCAACAGGTCCAGACCCCGGCTGCCCCCAAGGGAGGAGCAGTGCCCCTGGGTGCCAAAGCGGTTGCCCCTGCCGGTGGAATAAAGGACATGCCGGAAGTGCAGTCGCAGACGGCCGCACGGAAGCTTCGTAGTACCGATCAGTCAGGGGGATACGGCTTGAGTTTGGCACCCCACTACGCCTTCTTGTCAGAAAGAGGAAGCTTCAGGATGTTGGGCCGCGCGAGATGATCCACATCATGGAGAGAGCGGTGGGAAGCAGAGTTTCAGGGGCCCCTGAGGAGCCTGATGGGAATGCTTAAGGACAAGGACATGCTCGGGGCTGCCAGAGCCGCTGCCAGCAACAAACGCCAATCCGTTTGATGTGGCGCTCGTGATGAAGCATTTCCGCGGCATCGCAGACGAGGTTGGAGACTCGATCCGTACCTACGTGAGAGGAGCGTTCAAGAAGAAGTTGGATGTGAATGAAGAGGAGTTGTGCGCTTTGATGTTGCTGTACCCAGCGCAGATGTCTGCGGTCATCCAGGATGCCCCAAACCTACCAGTGTTGGACCAGACCCTCAAAGACCTCCAGGCGTCTGGGTTGTTTACGATAGTCCGCGACCAGGGCGCGAAAGCGATCATGGAACGCCAACTAGCTCGGCTCATTGCCGCAGCCCCGTGCAGGCAGCAGCATCAGTGTGTCGGCGAGGGATCGCATGGTGTCAACCTGTATGCTGATGAGTTTGAAGAAAGCGAGCGCTGCGCTCCTCCATATGTAGGCCGACGGCTTAATCGTGGCCACGTATGCCGATCAAGCGGCAGCCTGGCACCAATTCGGATCGGGCGCTCAGTATGCTGGGCCTCGGGCTAGGCAAGGGTGATCAGCCGGGGGCGCTTGGGAGGAATCTGGCCCACGTGTTGAAGAAGGTACGGGCTCGCCACCACCGTGCAGGACGCATGGCGGTGCGATGAGACGAAGGACATGTTGCACTTCAAGCTGGACTCCATCAGGGATGACACAGAGAGATTGGCGGATGACCGTGACAAAGCGTTCGCCGTCTTGCGGAGTGGTGTGGCGAGGGAACCCGCGCGGAGCCCAGCAAACAGTTTGCGTTTCGATTTTGTTTGCGACTCAGCTGCTCATTGCTGTTTTTCTCACATCAGGACCTGCCGTCCTGCGGATTGGGGCGATGCTGGTCTTTTGTTTCTTCTCGCTGAGGAATCGCAAGCGTGGGCAGTCAGGTGGCAAAGGTCAGAGGACACGCGACACGGGGGCTTCCTTTTTCGCAGTGACGCGTTGTGTTGCAGGAGGCCGCCTGCGTACGAAACCCGCAGTTGAGACACGTTGAACAGGCGCAACCCAGTGTTTCTTAGTGTGACATGCGCCAGGCCACGAAGATCGTGCCAGGTGCTGCGCCTTGAAGCTCCTCAAGGAGGCGGCTGCTCGCGGAAACCAGTTGGTGCAAGATCAGGCGGCGCAGATCGCGCGCTTGTCAGCCCAGGTGGAGGCGATAGCTTGAAAGGCTGCGCAGTTGTTCCTTTTGTTCCAGGACGTCGTTTGCGGAAGCCCCCGCCCTTGCGCTTGAAAGATGTGTGTCAGAGCGCCGCTTCCCAGCAAGAGCGAGTGGCTGGAGAAGCTTGTGCTGCCAAGACATTGTACTTTAAGGCTCGGGCGCCAAGACCTCCAGTGGCATACCTATTCTGGCAGTGCAAGAGAAGCCCGTCATTTTGGAACATGCCCTTTAGGTCAAGTATTTCAAGGCCTTCTTTGACATGGCGTACGGGCGCTTATCTCCTCAGAAATTTCTGGAGCTGGAGGCAGGCCAGGTTGAATTACAAGGCGATGGCAAGATGCGCCAGACTTGCTTAATGCCCTTGAGGATGCCTTCGCCAACAAAGAGGAGCATCAGAGATTCATGGCGCCGCTGGGTGAACTGCCAAGTGCTGAGCAGATTGAAGCTGGCCAGCTGCCAGTCCCGCTGCCAAACAAAGTTCCCAAGCCAGAAGAGGCAAGGGAGCCGCCTTCAAGTGCATCCGGGGTTGCGAAAAAACGCAGGACAAGGGAGCCGCCTTCAGGTGCAGGGCCATCCAGATTCGCGCAGAAACGCAAGCCCGCAAAGAGGGCCGCAAAGACAGGAGGAGCTGCAGCTGCATCTGCGTCGAGCATATCTATGTATTATTTTCTTTCTGCTCTCATGAAAGGCGTTTGCACCCATTTCTCTGACACCTTTGCCCACTACACGTAGGCTCTCACACTCCATGATCTAGAATATGCTGACGATACCGCACCTTGCCGGTTCCACCCAAATCCTTCACCGATACTTTCACTCCAACACATTGCGCTATGACGGTTTGGAAGTTCAAGAAAAGAAACAGACCCAGCTGAAGCTTTGTTGTGTAACAGTCCGGCTGAAACTGACCGCTCACTCACTTCACTTACAGCCCTGACACGCCTCGAGAAAACGCGATAGATTAATTAATCTGCTAGCTACTCAGAAGGGTCAGCAGATGGGTAAGAATGTGCCGAGTCTAACGCAGGGCAGGAGTCTGCTCGGCATGATGCAGCAGCCGAGGCCGAGCCAGCTCAGTCTGACGCCAGCGACAGAGTGCGCCGTGTTGTTCGGGACAAGACACACATGTACGGCGCTTTTCGCTTGACATACAAGGTGACCAAAGCAGGAGCATTGTCTTGGCAGGCGACGTGCCCTTTCAAGCCGCGCAACGCAAAGCGCACCAAGAGCATCGCTTTCAGAGAATTAAGTCTTGCTTCGGATCAAGCACTGGTGTATCCCCTTTCCTCCGCCACAAGCATATTTCCACCAAAAAGAAGCTCCAGGTTTACGTACAAATCGTCCAATCCATACTCACTTACTCAGCGGAATCCCAGGTTTTCACAGAATCGCAACTTAGGTAGCATAACACACTCCATTTCCACGCACTTCGACAAATCCTTCGAATCAAGTTCTCACACTACCACCGAGTTCTCTCCATCAGAGGAGCAATGCTTCCATGAATTCCTTTCCTCCCAAGCACACACCCACCTTCCCTCACTGCTTACCCAGACCCAATCCATTTTGCGTTCCCGGATTAAATGTCTATAGGCCACATCCTTAGAGACCCCTCACTGCTTGAACGCCAGGCAGTGTTTGGCCCAGCCCACACCTTTAAGAGGCTGGCCTCCTTTCCGTCGAGGACGCCCTAGAGCACATTAGCACGAGCTCGCGTTTGCGGATGCGTGGACAAGAGTTCAATTCCTGCAGCATTCGAGACCCCCCCCCCCCTTTACACGAATTTTCTCACCCCTTTTGGAAGTCCCATACAACACACTCCATACGTCCTTTTCTCGGTACGAACCCATAGTTGGCACTTGAATGCTCCACTTTGGAGGACACTGCACCCACTCTCTTTGGACAGGTCAAATTGGCAGTCACCAGTAAATGCTGGCATACCAAGAAACTAAACAACGCAATGTTGCGTGCTGCTGTCCTGTTGCAGTTTTTCATACGGTGGCTTTGCGCGTCGCAAAAAAACCATTGTGGAAGCAGCCGTGTGCGAATCAGAAAGGGCTACAACAATGATCTTCACGAGGTCAGCATACGTTCAGTCTGTCCCTGGTAAAAGTCCTCATTCGCTGGCAATTGCTTTCGTTGATGTCCGCATTTCTGCCAGCGGAAGATTGGTGTTTACACCGACCGGCACCAGCGTGGAGTGAATTTTATTCGACCCCCTAGGTGTATGGGGTCATCCCCCCCAACCCAAATCTTTTGCGGGGTGGCCCCCTTATGTGTGTTTGTATGTTAGAAGTGACTTAATTTTGCTTGCCGCATGCAGCATACTCAGCCAAGAGTGCGTATAGATAAAGGAGTCCAAGATCGGCTCTGAAATAGCCAGTTGACAAACTATGCTTCATGATATTTACGTCTACGCTTTCCGCGTGGAGTGAAGGCCTTGGTTCGTTGGCTCCTTGTGAAAGGGGCCTGAGGGTTCTCAAAGTGATGGCCCCTGGACCCTGGTGCCTTGCCGCCCAATTTGCCAACCCGCTGGCTGGTTTCCACAAGAACAAGTGCCACCATCAGTTGTTTCTTGGACACTGCTCCCCCGAAGACAGTGAGATTACATGTGTAGGTGTCATGCAACCCTCTTTATGCGACCTGAGATTGATTGAAACCTTCACTTGTCGCGCCGTGTGTCTTTCGCTGGCTCGCTTTTAGCCCGAGACCTAGCTGCAATTACGTGCCCAATCAAGCAGGGTGCTTTGCCAGCGCCCCGCGCCCAAGGAAGAAATGTTGCATTGCGTAAGTCCAGTGGCGTAGGTGATTGCGCAGTCTGCTCAAGCAAGCTCGCGCAAGCACCTTGGCGCGAGCATTTCTATGTGACCGCGCAAGACATCTAAAGACGCTTTGAAGATCTTTGAAGGCCGCGCAATTGCTGGTACCGGGCTGAGGTCACGCCTGCAAGCCACGGGAATTGCAAGATCTCAAGGAGGCTGCGATGCATCTTGCACATGCCGTGTCCACTATAGTACATATAAGTATGTAATGTGTTTGTTGGGGATGCCTTTTTTCAGGTGCAGATGGCAACTCGTAACGTTCATTCTGCACTCATTGCGCAGCGATTTTGGCATCACACAACAACCGAGTTAAATGCCAAATTGCAAAGCATCAACCAGGCGGGCATACAAACGCAGAGGAATCTCTGGTTCCCCTTGCTTGGTCCCTGCCATTGAAACTTTAAACCAAAACCGAGGTAGACATTGTGCACGGGGAAGTTCCCCCATCTAAGTGTAACTCAGCCAAAAGTGCTCCGGAGGAAGTGAGTGGCATGAAGGACAGCCTCGAGGAGAAGCCTGAGTGGTCCAGTTGGTTTGGCAGGGGTGGGGTTGTCATAGGGATAAAACGAGCTCATTAGGACGTAGGCCCTTTCCCTTCCCTTGTTTCAGGTTTTGAACATATTGCAGAAGCTACAGATATTACCCAGTTTCCCACAATCACGCAAGAAAACGGTAGTGCTCCACTGAGGGTATGCATGTTGCCTTTTTGTTTTTGGACTCTCTTGGTTGCCTGTTTTGGAATGAAGGTTAGCCAGTTGTTCAACGGTCCCGAAGTGGGTTACCATTTCAACTCGATAGGTTGCCATTTCAACTCATAGCCACTATGTTTTGGGCAAACAATCCATACCAAAGTTTAGAGTGGAGTCATCAAATTCGCCCAAGGTCCTTTGCCTAGCAACGCAGATTAAGCTGCGCAGCTTGAAGGGTGGTGTGACTACGAGATACGAGGAGTGAATTGCTCCGAGTCCTTGATGGCACTGAGAGTGGCTAGGATGCCGGCGTGTGTCCTACGCTTCTCCGGCATCTTCCTTGGAACAAAGTCTCTAGTAGACTACCCTTGTGCCCGAGAAGTCATGGAACCTGGTGCGGCCCTTCCACAGGTTTCAGGTGAGTGGACCCACATAACGGTAGCTTGCAATCATTGAAGTACATAAGTGGAGCCCGAAATGTTCGGGCGCCACGCAACATTGAGAGGGTGTATTGTGGATGTCTTTGTTAGAGCCAAGTGTCAAGAGCACGGACGGTGGGAAGAGCGATCAGCCCAAACATCGCAGTGCGAGTCCAAGCTCTCACACGGACATAATGGTTTTGAAAGTAAGAGTGGAGTAGCAAGCAAGGGGTTATCCAGCAACATGCACGCATGGCGAGCAACCTTTTCATTCTCCTGCAAGTGAAGGTTGCTCACCAAACCCCAGTTGGCCAGGTTAGAAGGTTGCTCTGCTACCTGGCTTCATGGGGTTTGTATTGGAGCCTAGACAAACCTTGATAACAACGTTGGTCCTCGCTCGGCTTACCCCGCAAAAGCTGCCGGCTCATGTCCTAGGAGCTGAGTCAGAACGTGCGGATCTTACGGGAGGTTTCATGTGTCATAGCGGTGTCGGTTTCCGATCATGTGTTCAGTCGCGCTGCATGCTCATGAACAGTAGATAAACTGGTGCCAGAAAGTGGATGCGAGGTGAGGCATATTTCATTGATCTAAGTGGGTTCGCGCCTTATGCATCCTGTTTTTGTGACTTGTTGCTGGGCAAATCTGAGTTGTTGGACGCATGGTATCCTTTCCCACGATGATTGTTTATCGGTGTGTTATTTATATGCACTCCATTAGCTTGACTGGCTGCTGTGATTCTGGCAAGCAGGCCCCTCAAGCAATGCATGAAAGGGGCGTTCCCCGCAAAGGAGACCCCTCGGTTTCGAAGATGTTAAATGGTCCTGGGTGTGTTTTGCAAGCAACAGCATGTTCGCTTGCCTCTCTGCTGGACAAGGGCCTTTAGGTGAATCCCCTTTGTTTACCAAACATGGAGCCAATGGGCTTCTCGGCCCTGATTAATTATAGTGAGTTGTTGGGATACTTTGAATTATAGCCAGAGACTCATTGTCGTTGCAACCTGTATTCAACTATTTGACCCTCAGGTCGAAGAGCAAAAAGAGGTTCAGGAGCAGCTGCAAAAGAGTTGCCAGGACCGCCAAACTTTGATAGCTGGTCAGCAGGGAAGTCCGCGAACTTTTTCTGAACCACGAACTGGTGGTTTCCTAATGGATCCCAGATTCCTTGAGATGTTCACTGAGAACCAGCGATTGAAAAGTGTTGTTGTTTCCCTTCTGTTTCACCAGGAACTTTTAGCAACTGTCAAGGCTGTTGTGTGTGTGTGTGTGTGAAATGCTGAGCACATGGAAACAATGGCTTTTTCCAAGCGCCTGGAGGGTGGATGATCTTGCCCCTTCTGTTCCCCAGGTGGCCTGGTTGTGGCCTGATTTACCTGTTTCGTTTGACGACAGCGTCCCACTTGGGGATGGCAATGCTTCGAGATTCTTCAAATTCCCTTCTTTGCGCCCCACCAGCCAGGGCAGGGCATTGCGAGGCCCGTGGGCAACCCGTCCTTTGGTGACGTCACTAGGGGGCAGGATTGAGAGGTCAAAAGTGAAGGTTGCTTTCTTGGGGGACCCAGACTGTGTTTTCGGTCGATGAGCTATTCAGTTTGATTTGCTCAGACAAATGCCGGCGCAAACCACGCACCACCTGGTGCCGTTGTGTTTGTTTTCCCACCAGTATGGGTGACGCTAGGAGATCCAGCAGCTTCTGCAGAAGGTGGTGGACATGGCGGAAAAGCGACACCGCAAGCCCAGCCCAGGCCCTCGGTAAGAATGGATCAGCAAAGGACTTGTAGGGCTGGCTTGGATGGCTTGGATGGTCTCGTGGCTTTTGGGGGGGAGAATTGTCTATGGAACTTGTCCCGGGATCTGTTTGTTCTATGCTCTTGGAATTGCTTTTGTTGTTTGTTTGCGTCCCAGTTGGTTTCTTTGGCTTGGCTTCTCCCTGGTTTCTTGTGGAGTTCGTAGGATGGCTTTGGGATATCCTGGGAGGGAGCTGGTTCGAATCCTTTCAGAAGTGCACCTAGTTTGAGATCAAGAGGTGAAGTCTGTCATTCATCGCAACTCCACGCGGGAGGTATATTTGGCTTTTGCAGGTTCCAACGTTCCCAAGATGGTTTGTATTCCTCCCAAAACACTGGCCCGTTCTTCCCAGATCCATTGAGCAAGTTGCAAATGCAACCCCTGGTGTGCACGCAAAGATCTACGAAGGCCTCATCAAAGTGTAATAGTAAGGCACCTTTAGCGGCCTATGGAATGAGCTGTTTCTTTCACTGATTCACTTGTTGTCTTGCTGGACTATGTTTCAGAAATTCAACTTTTTGGGACGCCCAATTATGGTTGATTTTCCGCTTGGCGTGCCGTTAACACCCACGGAATCGGTTGAAGCCATACTTATGTACCCTAGCCTCCATGCTTCGCTGTGGCGTGACCTGCATCCAACATTGAGCAGAGAGCACTTTTGCCAATCCTAAGCCATGGGGAAATGCTGCCTTCCACTCACTGGCGACATCGCTTGCCAAGTTTCATGTGCCCGTCTTCTCAGACTTTCCTTTTGATTTCATCAAAGGAAGCTTTAAAAAGAGCTTCCGTAGTCTGGAATTAAACGAGTTAGCTCTCTCTAAGAACGCATTCACCTGCTTGCCTCGTGCGTGAAAAAGCCAGAACAAGTCGAGAAAATGAGAGAACTGGGGAATAGAAGCGGGCTGAAAAAGTGGTCCTGTGCGTGACCTCGGCTCTTCCGCACATGCGCAAAAGGCCTCGGTTGCGGCGCCTGACGGAAGCGGGCAAGGAGCGTGGGCGGAACAAACCCGCCGACGAGACGGGCCCAATGACACGGCCGGGCGCATTTGTTGCAACATAAAGCTAGCTTGCGTAACAGGCGTAGCAGTTTCGCAAGGTGAGGGTGCAGATTTCGTGGCAGGCGCAGAAGTTTCGCAAGGTCAGGTGCAGCTTTTGCAAGCACACCGCTTTTGCAAGTTGAGGTGCATTTTTCGTGGCTGGCCCAGCGCTTTCGCCAGGTTGGGTACAGCAGAGTTTTAGCAAGGTCAGGTACTGATTTCGTTTCAATCGCAGCGCTTTCAAAAGATTAGATAAATGGAATCTAACAGAAAAATACAATAAGAAGGTAGATTGATAGAAAAATGGGAAGGTAGATCAGGCAGATAGATAGATGGATAGAAAGCTCGGCAGGTCGATAGGCAAAAAGAACGAACATAAAAACAAGAGCGAAGAGAAAGTAAAAGGGAAAGCAAGAAAGAGAACCAGTAAAAGTACAAGAAAATGGAAACAAGAAAGAAGGACAGAGAAGGGAAAAACAAGTAAGGCGCAAGAACGAATGGAAGGAGGGAGGGACGGAAGGATGAAAGCACTGTCGCGTATACAGAAAAAGAAGAGGGACATAAAGACAAGAGAAGAAAGGAAGAAGGAAGGGAAGAAATGAAGAAAGGAAGAACTATAAAGAAAGAACCAAAGAACGAATGGAACGAAGGGAAGGAAGACGGAATCAACAATTACACAGAGAAAGAACAAAATGAACAATTAAACCAAGAAGGACAGACAAAATAGGCAAGGAAAGAAAATCAGAAAGAAAGAACGACAGAAAGGAAGGAAGGAAAGATATACAGGAAGGAAGGAAATGAAGAAAGAAGAGAAAAAGAAGGAAGGAAGGAAGGAAATAAAGAAAGAAAGAAAACAAGACGGACAGACAGACAGACAGACAGACAGAAAGAAAGAAAGAAGAAGGAAAGAGAAGACAACAATAATACACAGATAGACAGAAAGAACGAAGGATGACGAAAGGAAAGAAGAGAAAAGAGGAGAATACAAATACAACAGATAGCGTTGTATTTGCTGGCTTCGGCGGCACAACTGGTACCATCATTGTTATAGTCCCACGAGGCTTCCACCAACACCCAAAGGTGGAGCCGGGTTGTGTTTTCGTGGCAAGGATTCGATTTCCTTGCGCCAGTTATTGCAAGTCTTTCTAGCCAGGGAGTTGCAGGTAGTACGTCCAGGCAATGTGGAGCGACAATTGTTCAATCAACCAGACCGAGGCTGTTCAAAATGTAGTAGTTTCGACATGTTTGATCAAGTTCTTTGTCCAACCCCGCGGCTGAGAGTGTGCCAGGCGTTCTGCCAAAGGTCTTTCCAGGGAAACATTCTCCGCCAGGAGTGAGCGGGGGGTCGGGCGGGGTGGGGGGCAAGGGAGTTTCATACCATAAGTAGCCATGCTCAGCATGTGCTCCGTGTGTTTGCCGCATGCATTGGGTTCAAGAATCAATAGGCGGGGGCACCACTTGCGGTGGTGCCGCCTTTGAGAGGGTCCGAACAACGGTGCCATTATGTTGACAATTTTGCCCCGAGATGGTGCTGGCTCAAGCTCATGGACGCTGCTCGTGTCCTCGATGAGGACTTGCGGACAAATTGGCACTCGGGAATTTCCGGGCACCCACAGAGGTACAGGTGTGTAGGTAGGGACCACTTGGGTTTCTTACCAGTCTACCGATCGTGTCCAAGTGTGAGACACGACCAGATGTGGCTTCCTAGTGTAGTGTATGTACGACAAACTCAACAAAAGGTTTCATGAGGTATTCATTTCCGTAAAAATTGTCTATGCACGGTGATGTACCATCTGCGTCGCTTTCCACGTTTATTGGCTTTGGGAGTCTCGTGATCAATTGGCTGCATGCACCCTCTACAGTCATTCCTTGCAACACGCATGATTCACCATGTAGAGAGTTCCCAGTTTTGAACCAGCCCTTGATACACACGCCCTTAAGATAAAAAAGAGGAGTCACCCCTGGAATTCCATGTGGCTATAAATTTTAGTAGGCCCCTGAAGAGTGAACCTCACCCAAATGATTTCCGCCAAAGGGTCCCCACTGAGAACTCATGCCCATATACGAAACCCCAATGAATTTAGCAGTCTTGAGCTCCTCAATCGCAGGCCTCAGAGCGGCTGTGGATCCCCCTCAAATTCCCGAGCTGCGGCTGGATGAGGCACGAAAGCATGACTGGTTTACTCTTTTCTTTCTCCAGAGCTTGACATTGCTGCAGAAATTCAATGGATGAGCAACGCCAGGAGTCATGTCCAAACCTGGCATCAAACGGGTCTACCCAAGCGGCCGCCCCCCAAGTCCAGCTGGGACTGTGCCCTTCCTGCAGTTTCTGGCTGAGGTATCAGGAGTTGGACCTGCAGCTGCGGATTTCACACCCAGTGGATCCCAGTTGCCCACCATAGGTAACCAGCCGTTTCTCTTCAATTGGTTTCCGATTATGCAAGGGTGCTTGAGTTGGCTCTGTTGACCTAAAGACTCGACGCTTTAGAGAACAGCGTGGATTACACGGGTTGGTGCCCCTATCATATGCTGCACATGCGAACTGCAAGCTTGCACTAGTCGTGCTGGAGAGCAGTCCATGATGTGCAATATGAATGGCAGCCAGATACTTGGAATATGCTGCTTAGCTTGACATTGCTTGAAACATAATTATTTGACTGCTATTGGGTTGGATCTTTAGACTTTAACTGTTTAGGAATTAAAGGTGTTTTCCACTAAACCCCCAAAAAGTTGAACTTTTTGCAGGGGGGTCAACAGCAACCAAGTTATATAGTGTCTACATATATATATATATATACATACACATACATATGCATGCGTGAATATTTATAATCACATACGTATTGATCCAACTTCGCCGTGCATCGCAAACAGGGCAGGTCTTGAGCCAATCAACATTTTTGAACAGGTGGCCATCACCTGTCTTGGTACAAGTGAGTGAGATGAGTTGCGGGCTATTTGTTTGTGCATTTCATTGTCAACCTGGGCCCCCACACCGGATGCCCTGTGTTGACAACATTGCATCACAAAGACCATCTTCTGGAGTAGTCTTCCGTATCACCCACCCAAAGACTTCACCCATTGGCTGGAGGCTCAAGTCTCAAACCCGCCTTCCCGCCAGGCCCTTGGGCAAGGACGCGGCAACAGCGTTTTTGTTGACGGCGGGTGAGCAGCAAACAGGCTCAATCGTGTGCTCGCGTTCCATCGCGCGCGCGGTGTTTTATGTTGTTCTGCGCGCAGCCAGGGGACTGTTCTAGGTAATTCTAGGTAGATGTTACTTCAGAGCGGCATCCCACACCCTCTCAAGAGCAGGTTGCCTGAAATCGGCCATGGTACCCAACTCTCAACAAAGACTTCCAAAACCATGGCGTTCTTTTTGCGCACCATGACAATTTTCCCAAGGAGGTGTTTGACCGTTGACACAAAAGCTTGGCTGGGAACCTGAACCTCATTTATTATATATTCGGTTGTGAATTCACTCGCCAAGGGAGTGTGCTTAAAGACACATGGACTATGGAATGTTATGGAACTGCGAACCTGAGATCCTCACTATGTTAGGGCTGGGAGTTTCGGTTTGTTACCAACTTCAAGTAGACCAGAATGGGGCTGGGTGATCCTGTGGTTCATTCAACCAATTGACATCGTAAACGGTACGCCTTTTCTTGCAGCCCATGGTTGCTTGTAAAGCCGATCCTCCGCTGCCCAGAGCTGATCCCGCAACAGCAATTGGCGTCTGATACTATTGGTTCATATGTCATCATGGTCGACCCCGCAATGTGACCTCTTATGATATACAATAATATATATATATATATACACATGTTTGTTTGTCCAATTGATGTGTGTGTGTGTGTGGTTCCAGTTCAACGCAAATAGTTGTGTAGCCTCGCATCTGAGACTTTCTCGGCCAAGCTAGGCCCTGTGCATTGCTTTGGCCCCAGCCAGTCTCGGCCCCCTTCAGCGCGATGGGCTGGCCACTGGCCCCTTCCGAATCGAATGGCCGTTCTTGCGGCGCGGCAGAGATTGCCCAAGAGATCGAGCAAGTGACCAGAGTCTGTCAGAGCAGTCCAGAAACGTTTCCCCAGAAAAATGGCAGCCCACAAAGGGGTCACCCATGAGCAACGTCCAAAGCCTCCGTGTACATGTGTAGTAAGAGTTGCGCCATATCGACCTGCACGTCTCCATGTGCGTACAGTGGTGTAAGCAGGTGGCATGAGCAACACCTCCACATGTGTCGCCCAAGCCAAAACAGGCTTTGCGAAAGGTGTGCGTAAGCGGGGGCGTAAGCACACTAATACGACATAGCAAATCATCACACGTTTAGGACTCAGCTCAAATGAGTTTTCTCTAAGTTCACAACTCAGTGAAGCCTGAAGATTTATCCTAACTAGCCTTAAGGCTTTGCATCTGGTGTTCCTGTTCAATTGTGAAGTTGAGGCTACTACCCTGCCGCTCTACACATGGAGCGGGAAAATGATGTAGCATAAGGTGCTGGAAAAATGCCACGTGATTCTCTTAGCTTGTATTATGACAGAACCCATCACAACCCCATTCCATTGGTTTAGGTATGTTTAGGTCCAATGGAACTAGCTCCTTCCTGGCCAATCAAGCTTGTCTCACCGGAAGAAGTTGAGGAAGCACTCCTTCTTCCGCACACTCGCGTGGAAAAAGCGTTGAGCGGAGGCTCAATAGCAGTTGGAGTTGCAGAACGGCTTCCAAGGGGTTCTTGTTGGGTGCTGATTGCGTCAAGGGCAATGCCAACAGTGGTACGCTGGGTTGTGACCTGGTAAATCCAAACAGCTTACAGGATCATTGGTGGTCCGTTGCTAGTTGGCGGGGCTTGGTTTTCATTTTTCATTATTCGGAGTTGCGTGTCTTACTCGCCCACACACACACACATACGTATGTTACACAACATGTTTGTCCTATTTGGGCGTGCCCAAGACATGCTGTAGTCACTTAGGAACAATGCGACTGGCTGTTGTCCATCGTTCTCTTTCTCAACCGAGTAGTTGCTAAGGCGTAGAGATATAAGGCGATTTTCCGGAGAGTCACTTGCAGTTGTTCGGGAAGGTTAGGCCCAGCACAACGAGGTTTTAAACTGAAGCAGCTCAGGAAAACATGTAGCAAGAGTTTGGTGTGGCTACGAGACTACGTGAACAACAAACTTAGTGGCGTTTACTTGAGTCGCTCAGCTTTCCAACCAAGGATCCCTATTTGGTTGAATTAGAGCTATTGAAACGGCACCAACATGCAACATGAAGACAACCACGTGGAAGGTTCATGTTGTTGGTTCATGTGTTTGACACATTCCTATGTCCCTCGGCCACAGCAAACACCAGTAGACTTAGCAGGCTACTGGCAAAAGACAGAGAGAGATAAACAGAGGGAGAGACAGAAAGAGAGATACAAAAGGCACCTACAAGCAATGACACCTTGTGCAGCTTTGCGATTAAGCACAGTTTGTTGTAAGTTGATTGATGCGATTGTGTCCTTGCATTGTGAAGATATTTCACAGCTGTTGCGTTGGGTGCTCTTTGGTTGGACCTCTAGCGTTGTCATACTTGTTGTTTTTGTTGTGGGGTTGTCAAAATGTGGGCACCATTTTGGTATCCCCTTTAAAAGGCTTCACATCGGGCGGCAGCAGGGTCTACAAAAAAAGCAATATGTTTGACCCCCCCCCATTTTGCAACTGAGGGTCAGCGCTCAGGGCGCTGACCTCTCTTTATCAAATGACTGCTTCCCCAAGTAAATCAATCATTTGTATGGGGTCCCAGACCAACCCAGCTGGTGGGAGTCCGTTCCTCGCGGCAACTCCACATTGCTTTCGCTGGCCACATGGTTACGTGGGCCACATGTACAGTGCATGCAGCAGCAAAAAGCAATCATGGCCTGGCCATGTGCGTGCTGGGGACGGGGGCATGGCTAGGACGACTCAGTTTCAGTACCCGCAGAATCAATAGCCGTCGCATATGCTACATCCTGGGTCAATGTAGGATTCAACTCAGTCCCCAGTAGAGATGAGGCTAACAGTTTTATACATGCATGCCGTTTTAGATTTGTTTGCCTCCAAGAGCATGTCAAGAAGGAGAGAGCAGAGAGACCCAAGAGCAGCTCTCTGTTCTGCAACACCTCGACCGTGACAGCATTGAACATAACAATGAGCTTGCCCATTTTGCAGATATTTGTTACACAGCAGGGAACAAGGGGCAAGCGTGCTTGTCAGAGTTGAGTCACATGTGTTCTTTGGCAGCACGGGGTTGTAGATTTGAAAGCAACATGTGCTTGTCATAGTCAGTATTCGTAGGTGTTCAGAAGATATGATATTTTGAATGGTCGCAGAGCATCACCTGACCGGAGAGCACACTTCGCAGTGTTGGCTGGCAACTTGGGAGCAAAGGGCATCAAAGTCGCTGCGCTCTCACGTTACATGTTGGGCTGACGTAGTAGCGCGTTCCTCGGAGTTTATTGCCACCACTTTTAGGAGCGGCTGTTTTCTGAGAGCATGTTGGGCAGTGGGCCTGAACGACCAGCAACATGGTCTGTGAGCAAGCGGGGTTTATAGCCCCTCATAGACCTTGAGGCGGGCCCTCAATTGTGCTTGGGCCTTGTGCGGACGTGCGGAACTTCCTTTTCGCAGAAGGCTTGGAGGCTATGACGCTCTTTGGAAAGACGAACACACACGTCAGTCTTTTTCTAGCAGGTTTGGTGCTTCGAAAAGACTAGGGGAGAATCATGCGTTTGTCACAAAGTTCGTCATGTTTCCGGTAGCAGGGAATCACTTGAACAAGGACCACCTCTGGGTATTTGTTGACTTGTTTGGCAGTGGGAATCTCTTGAAGGGCGAAGCACCGCCCAGCGCTCATTCACCTTTCAGGCAGCAGGGGATCACTTGAATGAATCATGTGTTTGTTGGCTTGTATAGCAAATGTTTGGTGGCAGGGTGTCAATTAGCAGAAGAGGCAACACGACCTGGAACCAAGATAATATGCAACACCCCGCTTGGTGGGGATGTCATCCGGCTGCAGATTGTAATAGATACGTAGCTGGTGAGTTGCTTAAAAATGTAGTTACACATGCTGACAAATATGATGTCTGCATTGTTATTTCTTGGCATCAGGTCAGACGTGCCCAATTGGGATTTGGCTTCATGTGAAGTTGAGTGGAAACCATCTTCTTTTGACGGGCGGTCCGGAATAGCGGATATGCTTTGGGTTGAAGCCCCAAAAGGGTCCCAAGGCGCAACTTGCCTCAACCCATTGGTGCTCAAGTGACAGGCCTCGGAAAGGTTTTGTCCATTCGCACGGCCAGGTGTGTGCACGGTCCCGCACAGCGGCGCCCGGCCCGCCTAGAGAGGATTGCGCTGTGGAAAGTCAATTGCACGGCGGAATGAGGCAGGCGCTCGGTGAGGCAAGATGCTACACTCCAGCGGCTTTTGGTTTTTACTGCGCAGGGAACCATGGCATTTCCATGTTTCAGGACATACGGGGAAGTTTGGTGAGCTGGTGTTTCTGATTAATTTCAAATACAGAGTGCGGTTCCATTGGGTGAAGGTGATGGGTCCTTCAACAAGCAAATACTGCTGAGATGTTTAGTGGGGTGTACGTGTGACTGGGATTCGCCAAATGATTGGGATCCTTCGTTTGTTTTTATTATTTTATTTCCAACGGGCCAACAAAAAGGTCGCCTCGTTCTGACACATACCTTTTGCGCCATATTTTGAGAATCGTACGTGCGAATCGTGCAACCCTAGACTCCCCATTTTTGTCCGGGCCATGGTTTGCAACCGCCTTTTAGGGCCGTTCTTTCTGTGGGTTTGGTCTTTTTTGCTCCAGGAATGATCGCAAAGGAGTGTCTTAATTCCATGATGATGCTTGGAGACTGCTTTGTGAAGAACTGCTCACAGAATCCACTATTCCAGAAAGAGTCATGATGCCTGCGAAGACCCATGCAACGTGTCGGCAGTTGTGAAGGGATAGTACTGAACTGATCAATCAACGCTATGTGTCAACCATTCATGTTGACATGGGCAACCGATATGAATAGGGGTTGGCGATGTATCTTCATGTCCAGGCTACAATATACAAGTGACGTGAGGAAATATCTTGGGACGCCTGCCCGTGTTCGTTTGCAATGATACATGCGTGCCGTGTGCATACAGCAGTCCATGATGAGCCATCGAGTAGCCTTGGAAACAGTTCATGTTTGGTGCAACGGGTTTGCCTACCAAATATTTGGGCTGGTTTTTGCCCAGGGACTCAGCTTTTCAGAAAGTGATCCTGAACTGCTCCCCTTTGATAGTTGTAGTTGTGTTCAATGCTTAACTCAGAAGAGTTGTTGAAGGGTATAAGTACAATTATGATTATCTCGGGTCGCTGATTGGGTCATTCTGTATTCCGTGCTGTTATAGGTTATTGTGGATGCATTACGTTTCTGTATCAGGAGCTTCCTCGTGCCTTCCCCGTCGAACAAAGTGTTTGGACGGCTGTTTGATAGGGCATATTAAATTTGAAAGATTGGCTCCCAGTTTGCGAACTGCGAACTTTGCCTTGGTTTTCGTACTGGCGAGTATTGGTGTCGTATCGGCTTGGTATGTCCTATGTCTTGCTCAGTGCTGGCAAGCTTGGATTGCGACTGGACGGGCAGCCATATCCCATGTTCACCCAGGTTTCCACCCAGGAAGCAATTTGTTCGTGTGGCGCAGTCTTTTCCTGTTTAAGTCCGTGCATGCTTTTTGGCAATGCCTTTTCTGTTGTTCCTAACCATTTGCTAGTCGCTATCCGATGGGTTCCCCCTTCAAGCCAATCTTGAGAGATAATTGCGCTCTAAGATTCTGAAAATGTTTGAGTTATTCAAAATAAACCCCCACAGGGATGATGGCTAGTGTTTTTCTTTTTCCAGATCCCCTATTCGCATTCAGAACAATGTTTGATCGCCCGAAATGCACGAGCTGCACATGATTCATTTGATTTCCAATGGAAGGCTAACCATGGTGGCAGTGGCCAACAGATGCAGTCCCTTGATTTGTTTGTTGTAGACCCGCGACATGTATATATGATGCATATGATGGCAAGAAAGCAAGACAGAAGATGAAAGAAACATAATGAGTATGATTGGAGACACAATGCATTTATAACACATCTGTGATTGATGAGTACGCTTCCTGGCTTTTTGGTAGCCGTTCTGGCTTAGTTTCCTAGGAGCAGCATGCAGCAGTCTTTGTGTGCTTGGCCGCACAATGCGATCCAAAACACGATAGTCTATCTCGAGTGTATTCGTTTGTTTGCGCCAAAGTATGGCTTACGTGACCTCGTTTGTGTTGCGGTCGAGCGAGCTTGATTGGCTCGGAAGCCTTATTATTGCTATTGTATGTACATTGGCATCAGTTATGCAGGACGACAAGGCACACGCAGACATTGATCCTGCCGTAGCACGATGGCATTGGTGGACTGGCTGATACCGCCTTCTTTGATCGCACTGGTGGTGCTGCTGGCAACCCATGCAGGAGCCCCAATTCGCTTGTGAGACAGGACTTAGAGCCATGCCTAAAATGACCGGCAAAGCCAAACTTGGTTTGCCATACTTTGACGATTTGCAGCAACAAGTTGCTGGTCCGTTGAAGTCTGATCAAGGTATGAACACGTGGCCTTCTTTTGTACCTTGCAAAGAGCTCAAATTGGAGCCTTTTGCCAGGATGCAAGTTTGAAAGACATTGTGGAGTAGCTCCGTTGTCACCTCGTTCCAATTGCAAAATTGAGTCGCAGTTGGGGGCAGGGCGTTTCTTTTTTTTTTTTTTTTTTTTTCCGGTTCCTGGTTCCCACCTACAAATTGAAATGCGGATGGGGGCAGGGTGTTGGTTTTCTTGGGGCTTGACGGAGTACTGTTTTAGTTTTGTCGATAGTGAACATTTATTTATTCTTAAAAATCAGTTCTGACTTGATTGTTGGGGAGGGTCGTAATTCTGTTTGCACGTGTCCGCGGTCAACATGCATTCCGAGTGGTGGCGACCCAAGCTTGATGCTAAGGAGGCCCCCGACTTGTTTTTGTTGTTCTGTATCAAGCCACAGCTTCGAATGCCTTCTCTTGACCTTTCTTCACGGAGAACTAGCACTTGTACACACCATAAGAAGCTCACCTCACCTAGCTTAAGTATGAAGAGGATGATGATGATGTCGTCGACAGCCATGCTACCTCCTTGCAGCGGGATTGTCATAATTGTACTTCTAATGTGTCCGGTTCACTAGCTGCACTGTACTTGTGCCGAAAGTCTCAGTTTGTTGTTGCCACATGTGGGTTGTCTCATAGTTGGAATCTCTGATTTCGCTCCGCCTGCCATACTGTCTATAGATGTGTTCACGTCGCAGTTGCCGTGTGGGGAGGGGTTGGGGGAGATAATGTTGCTTAGCAAGCATCCGGCGAAGTGGTAGGCACTTTGGGCACTAGCAAGCGCAGCATAACGCACTGTTTTGTGGAGCAATTGATATGGGCCAAGTTCAAGGGATCCTAAGAAATGGTAGCTCTTCCTTTGGTTTTTCATTGAACCAAGGTGAAAAGCGTATCCTCAACAAACCACACCAAAGTATAGTCATTCGAACAGAAATGTATATTCACAGCCGAGGCCAGCGGTTTCCCGGGATGCCTCGCCTACCTGCTGCTGTCAACACTCTGCATTGCACTCTTTCATGCCCCGAACTCAGTTGTTGCGTGACCCTAAATGGGGCGCTCGATCGCTTGAGCCAAGGGACAAATTTAGGGCCAACCAACAGGCGGCCTCAGAATCTCTACCGGTGTTCAGGAATGTGTCAAACTAGGCATCCCCGTCCCATGTAGGTTCCGATTTCGACACAGCTGATGGAAATAAAACTTGTGGCTTGGCCTCCCTTCTGGTAGCACTCAGCTGCAGCTATCCAAAGACACTGCTAGGTTGCAGGAGTGTGCTGTCCACCAAGTTTTGCGCAGCGTTTGTGAATGGTCTTTGCAGTGGACGCAAGCAACCATCAGTGAAGAGTGTGGTTCCAACCTCTTACCACCTAACGATGACTCGATTGGGGACTGTGGAGAATCTGCCTTTGGCCCGCTCGAATGCCACATGTTCAGTGATGTACCAGCCAAGTCTATCTGCCATGAGTGTGATGAGTTGGTTTCTCAAACAAGAAGGGCCGATTACAGTGGAGCACACCTCATCCAGACTCAGGGAGCCCAGAGTCTATTTGGTTCGTGCTACGGGTTGTCAAGACATGGCAAGACGCATTTGTGGAGAAATCCATCATTGATGCAGACTTGTATTTGGCTGCAGCATTGGATTCTTCTTGCAACCAAACGGGGATCCAACATCAGACCAGCACACTTGAGCCTCGCTCGCCCAATTCGGGGCCCATATCGGCACAACTATGTATAACCATTAGTCTGCGGCACGTAGCTGCAGCGGGGTCCCAAAAGGGACCGACCATATGTTTGAATCCGATCCGCGAAAAGGTGCGATGGATGCGCCACGGCAGCATGAACCAAGAGGAGTTCGCCAAAGAAGAAGGGAGGCGCGGGACGCGTCGCGGCGAATGGTATGCTTTCAAACAATGGGTGTCTTGTTTTTCTTTTCCCCAATGGCCAAAGGATGACAAGGCAACTCTTCCATTGCTTTTTAGCGTGTTCATTGGGGCATCTCTCTTGGCGGCATCTCACATCTAATCTTCAATGTCAGGCTGGTTTCTTGAAACGTAGCGCAGGGTTCCCTATATGTCGCCTTCTAAATTGAACATCAGCTTGTGCGCCACTTGAAAGTGTGTTTCCTTTTAGATCATGTTTTGGGAGGGTCATTTTTCTGGATTCATGTTGTTCGCGATATCTTCTTTTCCGGATTTGTATTGGTGTTGTGCTTTTGCTCTGTTTCTTGGGTGGGTGTTTCTTTTTGCAGCTTGTCGTGGGTGTTTGCGGCTTTTGGTGAATTGTTTGGCTTTGGCTTTCCACATCCCATTTTGAGCATCGTCAGCAACTGATAAGATTCTTTAAAGGCAGAATTCAACCCCAACCGTGAATAAATGCAAAGTTCACCCAGACCCTGCTTTTCGGCTTGCGGCTTTCCTACCTTGTCGTGCTTTTCGGACCCTAAGCCACCACCAAAGTCACCTTAAAGCTCTAAAGCTAAGTCAACATTGACCAAACCCAAACCCACCCTAAACCCTAACTAAACCTTACAACTCTAAAACCCCCCGAAAACCCGCTCTAAACCAACAATAGACCATCCCTAAACCAACTCCAACCCAGCCCTTTACCCTGTACCAACCCTAGGCAGACCCTACACCAGCCTGAACCCGACCTAAACCAACATTAACCCACGCCAAGCCAGCACTAAACAATGCTTAAACCCGACCAATCCTACACCCACCCTAAACCCACCCAAAAGCCGCCTTTGACTGCCCTAAAGAATACCCACAGCAACCTTAAAGACACCCTCAAGCAGCCCTCAACCCACCCTAAGCCCACCTCAAAGTTTGAAACCAAACCTTAGCTAAGCCCTAAGCAAACCACTATACAACCCTAAACTGCACCTAAACCAGTTCTAAACCAGCCCTAAACAATGCCCAAGCAAGCCATGCACCAACCATACCCCCTCCCCCAAACCTCAAACCAAACCTGAGCAAGCCCTAAGCAAAGCTACGCCCACCTAAACCGAAGCATAGCCTAAACCAACTCTAAACACACCCTAAACAACAAACCCTGAACAAGCCCATTACCAACCCTACTCCCACCGATGCCAGCCCTAAACCATCCCCAACTTACACCAAAGCGAGCCAACCAAAGCCTACTCCCACTTATAAAAGCCCAATTTCAACCAATACTACGTGGCCTAAACCCACTAAAGCAATCCTAAACCTACCCACACTTGCCCTGAACAAGCCCCAAACCCACCCTAGATCAAAATTGAATTCGGCAGCCCACTGGTGATGCTGAGGGTGTCGAACGCGCTAGGGATGTCGGCAGTGCTAGGGCAATACGAGTGCATGTTGTCAATACAGAGTAAGATATGCACGGATCTAGTTTAGGCCTCTTTGTGCCATGTGTGGGTGTCAAGCTGCATTTTCAAATGCCAGGGACTGTTTATGAGATATTTCTCTGCAGTCGTGGTTGTCGTGGTTGATGATTGGCGAGTTGATTTTGAAGTTTCCTAGCTAATCGACCTGTTGGCATGCACTGCTGAGTTGCTCTGACATTGAAATCAGCACACGAGCGGCTGCATGTACGGAAGGCTTGCCTAGAAGAAAGGCCGGGCGGAACTATTTTTTGGAAGGATACTGAATTGGGCACAAAAAGAGATAGGAACGCCCTAACACGAGATGGGATAGACAACACGTTAATGACATGACATGGTCAGAATTGCAGCGTTCCTGCATGCTGGGAGTGATGTTTCAAGCCATTTGGTCTTAACACACAATCTGAATGTGGTGTAATCAGTGCAAACTGAGCGGGCTCAATACTGGCCGGAGCTAGAGACTCTCCGTTGCGAGGAAGGCTGATAGCTACTACTGCCCTCATTGTTCTTTGGACGTGCTTCTACCGGTTCTGCACTTGCAAAGAAGCAGCACCTGGTTGGATCTTGTGTAAGGATGCTCCATTTCGGAGCCGTGTTACAACGAGGTCCAAAACGAGTTTAACACGAGATCAGAACGAGCAGCAGGCCATGAGAGCAACCCACGGAGCCCGAAGAAGCGCGTCCAAGACAAGGCACGCCCATGATGATGTCAGGCAGGCAGAAACCAGCACATAGGCACAGCAACACCCTCGAACTTAGGCTAACTCCGACACTTCATTGTGATCGCAAACGCATGCAGCGTTGGAAGGGAACGAGGAAGGACATCCCACTCGTTTTCAATATGTAGCAAATAACTGTCGTAATCCAGGGACATGTTGGCACGATGCTGGCGCTTTGGTTTCCTCCCGCAACACTTTTCACAACCCCTCCTTGTGGCTAGCCCCCTCCTTGTAGCTGCGCGTCAAACATTTGGAGTCTTCCATATAGCTGGGCTTGACTGTTTCTTCTGTTGGTGTCCTTTTCAAAAACATTTAACATTGTCAATTTCTGGGATTCTTCCAAATAGTTGGGATTGGTTGGTTTTGTTTTGCTTTCTTTAAAACTTGCTCGACTCGGTTTGGCACCAGGCAGCGAGTGCTTTTCGGCCGCTTTTGCTGCCTGATCGTCGCCGCCGTCCTGACATGGATCCCTTACGATCTCTGGGGCATTGCCACCTTTTGCCAGTTCACCTCGTGGCACCCTGGCCTCTGGGAAACCCCAAAGAGATGCTGCCTGGTGTCGACTCTTTACATTTGAAAGCTGCTGCCGGCTGCAGTGTTGGAAGCCGTTGCCCATTTGTGAGGCAATTGTGATGAGGCTCGCAAACCGTTATTTGGATGTGACGAGTGCGTTGGTTTGTAGGATGGGGCTTGTGCAAGTGTCCATGTGTACATTTGGTACGTGCTTAAGGTGCTGCCGGAGCTACTCTTGTAAACGGGATGATTTGGGGCACTCTCTGGTAAGCAAGGGCCAATCGCCAAACTCTGTGTCAGTTGAACATGTACATTTAGTGGAAGTCGTAAAAGGGGATTGATTGAGCCGTTGGTTCCCCTCCATCACATTTTTGCCCAGGTCAGCTTGCTTGTTTCTTTTTGCTTTTTCTCAACAGATCCATCGACCGTCAAAGGGTAGCCACCACTAACCACCTCTAAATGGCTTCTTGCTGTGACATTCAAGTTACCTTGGCATGCACCGTTATGAAGCGAATGTGGCATTTTTTTGATAGGAGCTCTGGAAGGAGGGGAGCTAAACCGGAAATCTAGGACCAAAGCTGTTTCGCCCTCGGCATGACCAGCAATTTACATCCTTTTGATAGCCGCCCAAGTGGGGTGGGTGACACGCTTTCACAGGTCCAAACTAGGGATAGGTCCAACGATTGGTTCTATGTCGGGCTCTTGGATAGAACCAGCCAGGGTTTCTTCGGCTTGACAAACCCCTTGAGCGAAATTCAGAAGGTGCGGCTGTTCTCAGTGGACAAAGTTTTGAAGCATTCGTTGAGAAGTGCTGCTTGTTTGCGGTCGGTATAGTGTATCTATAGATCAACTTGCATGATGCATGACACGTGACTGTTGGTCGACATGGTCTAGGCCCGATTAAACTGTCTAGCGGTGGGCATATATCGGCCAGGCACAGAGGAACTTCCAGTTTTTCACGTCGAGGCACATTTGCACAATCAATGCAGGGATCCGCCAAAGCTGGGGCCTTTTCCAAAGATTGGCGGCAACTTACAACGAGCTCACCTCGGGGTCAAACGAGTCAAACAAGCTCACTCATGAATGTCCTTTACTCATGGTGCGCGGACTGGACAGGTCCGTGCTCTCTTCGGGGCGCGGGCCGACCAAAACGAGAGTCAACGAGGTCCTTCATTGGGGGTCCAATTTTTCCGGTTTGGGAATTCCTGGACTGTGCATGGGCAAAATCCTGCACCAGCTGGTGGGTGGCTTGTCTCAGTTTACCGGGTTTGATCCATCCAGACTGGTGTCGGATTTTTCCCAGAGCCGCTATTTTTCCCATGACCCCTCCGCATGGCACAAATGCCCTGTTTGCATGCGGAGGACCTGGTTGAACATGAACCTGTACTTTGCAGTGGCTCTCTTCCGCAGCTTTCGGCAAGGCGAGCAGGAGGTCAGGATTTTGTATGCCTTATGAGGGCACCCTGAAAATGGCTTGGGTCCATTCATTTTGTGTCCAAAGCCCTTGCCGCGCACTGTATTGACCCAACGGCCCAGCCGATTCCAGGTAATTTGAATGCCAAACTGGCAAAAAAGACGGACATGCACAGCATACGTTCAAGCAAAGCCCGAGAGGCTCAAATTGCAAGATTATGACAGCATTCATGCTGCGCCCCCTGCAAAATGATTGGCGTGCCATTGCTTTCTGAGGCCATCAAAAGGAGTCACCTCGAAAAAGGCACCCATTTGAAGAGGAATCCGGAGTGAAACCCGGTGTTTGCACAAGTGCCATGTTCGAGTGAGGCTTCTGGACCGCTGGATGCAAGTTGTAACTTTGGGATCACAGCATGACAACCATGAAAGTATTTGCAGGGATCAGAGAAGTCCACAGCCAACCAAGAGTTGTCTACATTGGGCTTCGCTGAAGGCAACGCATATTTCTCTAGATTTTGCCAGCGTGCTTTTTTTTCACTGCAGAGGACATGTTCTTATATCCACTGACAGGAGGCTTCAGGACTCCAAGCAAGACCTGGACATTAAATCCTCCAGAATACAAAATACAAGGCGTGATGCGTCTTCGCCAGATTGCGCCACGTTGTACTGTTTGATATTGTCGCTGGACAAAATACAACACCAATTGGTAGGTGATCTATCCATGTCTATCCCAGTATTCATAAGGCGCAGAGTGTTGCGCATCCACACTCAGTATCACTGAGAAATCAATAGTTTCTGCTCATAATTTTGAAATAGGACAATTGTTGTAAGTACCCCCTGTAGCTAGGTGCCCGGGAGATGATTACCTGGCTACTGCCAGTTTCTTATGATACATTTTCGGGCACTGGGGATTCCTCATGGACCTATCCATGCGCCATTTGGAGCTGTGTTACAGTTCCATTGCCTCAGACGCACTGGGAGAGCATTTGCTTTGCAGTGCTTTAGAAACCGCGAGGCATGGGCAGCCTGGAGTACTCAAAGCCGCACCGAGCGACGCTGCTATGGTCCCAAGCTCAGGTACTGAGATTGTGGGGCCCAAGCGACGCCTTAAACACACAACTTCAAAGCTAGTTCTTCCTTTTTTCTGGCCCAGGCGATGTGCTTGTGGGTGGACGGAGGATTTCAGAAGTTCCTTTGAGTTTTGTAACCAAGGAGTTGAAGTTCCCTTTTCAGCTATATTTTGAAGGGGCCATCATGAGATGGCTGCGTTTGAGCGAAAGTCGGAACCATTTGTGAAGTCTGAGATGTGCACTAGGCACTTGACGCGCCAGAACAATGAGAGATATGAATAATTATGCATTCGCGGCTGGCTTTTGCACAGTCTGTTGCACTCAGAATTGTTAGCCCCAAAGTCGCAAATCACTTCACGGTAATACCGCTGGGCCCACATGATATTTGCTGGCCACTGGCGGTTTGCGATATACGAGTTCCTCATATATATATATATATATATATGTGCGCCTGCAGCCTTTTCCCCATTGATCCAGTGGCATCGCTCTTTCCATTTTGCTTGCCATGCTCCGCATCTTCTTGTTTTGCTTCCCGGCAGTGGCCCACGGACAAAGTGGACTGCAGATTAAGAGGATCACTGAGATCAACGAGACAAATGCCACAGAATCCGAGTACCTAGAGCCTGACCCCATGTACGATTACTACGATGAGCTGATGAACACCAGCAATACAAGCTACGAAGCTTATCCAGTGATGCGGCTGGAGAAGCGTGGTGGCTGGGGTGTTGGAGGTGACAAGCTCTGGGGCAGCGGCCGCGGTGTGGAGGACATCAACAGTGGCAACGTTGGCTACTACAACGCGGGCATGCGGGGTGCCCGGAACCGATGTGGCGGCTCCAGTTGCGCGTTGATCGTTAACCCCCCCGGTCACCGCAGCATCGACAAGTTCCACATCCACTTTGTGCATTATCACTCCTACGGATCCAGCCTCAAGCACCGCCTGGAGAAGAAGGTCTGCGGCCGCAGCGGCTGGCAGAGAGGGGGCCTGCCCTGCCACGGCAAGGTAGGGTGAGTCACTTTTTTTTGTTAAGCGACCAGACACAATTAGTATCCCGCCAAAGAAAGATGGCCAGGTTGTTTCAACTTTGAACAGCCATGGCACCCCTTAAAGCTGGAGCCAAAAGGAGGTTGTTGGGTGGTTTAATCAACGGGTATTCGAACATGTTTAAGCAGGGGGTTGGCCTATGATAACTACGGCAAGGCCATTTTCTCCTCGGGTTTCCCGGGAGTCTTCAGCCTGGCAATGTCTGGGGGCGGCTTGCGACACGCCTCCGTGATTGCCTGGCCCGCCTCCTGCGGCGGCAAGGGCACCATCGTGGCTTGGTTACACTCGCAGATGGAATCCGCTTTAGAACAGATTCCATGTTAATCTGTGGAGATCTCTTTGGGACGATCTGTGGCCTTTCGACTTTGGGCAAATGACACTTTGCGAAGCAACCAGCAAAAAGGACAACTTTTATGACCAACCAAGGTGCAGCTTGCATATGGATGCTCCATCGAGCACCAGATCCGAGGCGACTACAACCCCGCATACCGCTAGAAAGACCGGAAAAGGTGAGCTCACAAACGCCGGAATGTGACGCAACATCATGTGCCGCGACAGATGCTCGCATGGCGCAGAATACCTCAATTTACTTGTACAGGTAATTGGCTCTTGTCCGAGCTGAAGGCCTTTTGGAAGGGGGCATTGTGCCTAGACGAAGTGCCTGCGCTTCGTCCCCCTTGGCTTGCAGCGATTTTGCGGAATCTTAGTCCGATCCGAGCTTAAGCCTCGAGATCGACCCAAGTTGCCCGGGCGAAGCTAATGGATCCTCAGACGAGTCCCGTCAGACTCACTTGGAGCGGTCCAAAACAAACATGAATGCGGCTGAAGGACCCATTCTTGGCATACACAGTGAATTTGTTTGCAAGTGATAAAGTAGTAATGAGGATGGCCTAGTTTGGTATCACAGAACGGTTGATTTTCGACAGCCACGAAAACAACATGAAGGATGTCTAGAGCGCAGACAAAGGCTGCTTGGGCTCACGGCAGTTTTGATGAGCTTAGAGCTGCGCATGTCACAGAATTTGGGTGCTTAGACCTTTCGTGCATTTTGTCAACTGCCTCCTTTAGTTCCAAGCTGAAATTTGGCTTGACCACGAAGTATTGTTGATTCACCTGCCATGGAAATTGTAACTATAAGTCTGTACATGACATATAATCAGATCGCTGGGAAGTGTGTTGAGAGTGTTTGCGTGTGTGTGTGTGTTGTGGTGTGTGTGTGTGTGTGTGTGTGTGTGTGTGTGTGTGTGTGTGTGTGTGTGTGTGTGTGTGTGTGTGTGTGTGTGTGTGTGTGTGTGTGTGTGTGTGTGTGTGTGGTGTGTGTGTGTGGTGTTTGTGGTGTGTGTGTGTGTGTGTCTTTCGTGTTTTTGTTTAAAGCAGCCCCATGTGACTGCGTTCGCCTTACAATGTTCCCACACCAGCTGGACCTGTTTGTTTGGAAACCTTGTTGTTTTTGAAACCTTGTTTGGCCCCGTGCCGGATACTGACTGTGGAACTCACAAGAATCCCATGGCTGCATAGTGCCCACCAATACAATGCTGGTCACGGCTGTAGCCGACTTGTTCCATGATGTTACACCTGTTCAGGTGCCTAGTGTGTGTGCCACAGCCTAAGACCAAAAGCTTCTTTTCAATCCGCAGGGGGCCAGGAACCCATGGATGTCTGTCCTGGCCAACGAAGACCAGACACCATGGGGGCGAAAACGTACCTGCTTTCGTGTCTTTCTGGTTCTGCCCGACATTCGGTGAGCCAGACATCGGACACCAAGTTTCTTTTACTCCTTTCGGGGAGCTGTTCACAGTGTCTGTGTTTGTGTGTGTCTGTGTCTGTGTCTGTGTCTGTGTCTGTGTCTGTGTCTGTGTCTGTGTCTGTGTCTGTGTCTGTGTGTGCGCGTCAGTGTGTCGGCATTGTTGCGACGGGCTTTACCGTCAAACGCAGTGTATTAAACCGTCTTATGTAGTCAGTGACACGTATATATATATATAGACATAGAGAGGTATGAGTCCCGCTGGAAACGGTGCACATAGTTACTTCAACAGGTAACAGTGTTGATAGTTGTATTATATATGTATATGCATCTACATATATTAGTTGGTTGGTATACCAGTATACCAATCCTGTCAGATGCCATGCTCGTGCCGTACGCATCGTTGCATGCCAGATCAGACTGGTCCTGGCCTCACCCCGAGGTTCCAGGTCCTTTACGGCATGGCGTGGCTGGTGGACATATTTTACTGGTTTCTGCTGGTGCCTTTCGCGTGCTACCATGGCAACTTTGCGCGCCGCACGACCTGGCTCAACATCTGGCTGCACAGCCTCAACGCGCCTCGAATACCTGGGTGGTTTCTGAGTTCCCACTGTTCTTTTCGACAAGGCGCTCACCTCCCTAGTTTCTTGTATGGTTGTTGGGAAGACCATTGCGATAATCTTTTGGGTCACTCGCTTGCCACCTCCAAAACCACGAAGAAGCGAGCCACGGTCAATAAGCACAGAGTTCGTTGCAGAGAGTGCCAACACGGGATAGGCTAAAGTTTATTGTGGCTTGGTGTGTGACCGCGAGAAACACTCACCCAGCACTACCCTGTATTTCCCATGATCAACCAAATGTACCGCAATTGATTTTAGTTAGACATTTGACGAGCGGTTAAATTATGAATGTTCACACATTTACCGTAATTGTCCAAAGGGACTCGAGCTGGCATGCCACAACAGGCCATCCTTATTTTCAGGCTATGGGATAGTGAGTTCCGTGTCTAGACACTCGGCTTGGCGTGGCCTTCGCGTTACGTAAGCCTTGTGCGTCGGGACGTCACAGTGAACCCACTTACCCAGATGCCGGGTCACCAGCCATTTTGGTTTTGGTCTTTGAGGGGTGGTTGCCTTGTTTACCTACTTATTATACAGGTACATGGTTCCACTGAGTGTGATATGTAAGACTGCCTTGGGTGACATGACTGACCCTGTAGCAAGATGTCCACCCAATGGTCTGCAATTACAATGCATGATCCAGAGATGCTCTGCTGAACTCGCGAACTGGGTTTGAACGCAGTGCTGGGACATGCACCATTCCTAAGCCCTTGAGTTTCTTGGGTTCATGAATGAAGCATTCACTAGAGGGTGGGGGGTGCCATGGGCTGTTGCTTCCGTTAAAGCAAGGGTATCAGGCATGGCTAAAAGTAAGGCCACTGACATCCTGCAAATTGCAGCTTTGGGCACAGCCCAGCTGGGTGTATCCCCAACAGCAACCCGCGAAACCCTTCCAACACCCTGCCTCAAAGCTGCTCAGCATCATTCGGGCCTAGAGCCCAAAAGCTGTTGGGGAACATGTGTATAAACAACCAAGCCTTGGTCCCTTTAAAGTTAATACACACTTGTGTATAAACACCTGTAAAGAAGTGGTGTTGCAGCCCAGGAAAAAGGATTTGACAGGTGATAGCCCCCGCCTCTCCATAGCCCTCCCTTGGAGGTCCATGTTGAGTTTGCTCCAGGTGTTGGTGATGAATGTGGAGCTCTTGCTGAGCCAACAAGAGGTGCGGATCTTCAACTCGATCTTTGGCTTCTACTTTGGTATCTCTGGAAGCGAGGCAAGCTTTTCACCTTTTGGAGCTTCATTGTCGGAACATGTTGGAATCACCCATTTGGGGGTTCACCTTTCGGCTTGACTTGTGTTGGTTTCACCTTTGGTTCCCCTTTCTGCAGTTGTTGTCATGGCCTCCAAGAGGTTGAGTTTTTGTGCCTCGGTCCTGTGGGCAAGGTATGCCGTATATATGTTTCAACTGGATGGTGCACAGCCTGACGGGCAATTGGACATACTTCTTTCTCGTCGCTTGGCAGAGGGGTATGGGCTGCATGGTGGATTTGCTTTGGTTGTAATTGCAACTTGTAGATAACATACAGCTTGCGGATTTCCCTTCGCAGCTTCTCAGGCATCTAACATGCAATGTTCGAAGGGGACATGTCCGAGTCTCGAGATGTGGGCGTGTGGTTTTTCAACCAAGATGAACCTGCTGAACTGGGCACGGGGTATGTCTTAACTTTGGGCTTAGAGGTTGACACCTTGATCTTTGCCAATGTAATTCGGTTAAGCGGAGAGGTCAGAGTCAGTTGGTGCACTTGGATGTTGGTGCCTTTGTGCATTGTCAAAGACGGAAATTGCAATTGTTGACTGTTCTGCTCTCAGACATGAATGTGTCCAATACTGCAAGGACAGAGTGACCCCAAACTTTGGTACGTCGCAGGGTATTCCTTGTTCGCGACTTGCAACATGTAGCAGAACGCTCTGGCATGGAGTCGCAGAAATGCAGAACGCTCTGGCATGGAGAGTCGCAGAAATGCAGAAACGCAGAAACACAATCTCGCAGGAAAGGAAACACAAAAACATCGACACAAAGACCCAAGCACGGAAACACGGAGAGAAAAGGACTCGGGTACCCTGAGTTGCAAAGACACGCCCCTCCCCACATGCCCGCCCGCCCTCCACTATTCCAGGACACCCGCCCTCAAGCATGTGCGCAGGAACGAAGGCAGGCAGGCAAGCAGGTAGGCAGGCAGGCAGGCATGTAGGAAGGCAGGAACGCAATCGCCCGCCAGCGCATGCTCGAAAGCTCCGTACCTGAGCGTCACCGTGGCTCTTGTTATGTCTCTTGGTTGTGTGTGTGTGGGGTGTGTGTGTGTGAGTGTGAGTGTGAGTGTGAGTGTGAGTGTGTGTGTGTGTGTGGTGTGTGCGTGTTGTGTGTTGTGTGTTGTGTGTTGTGTGTTGTGTGTTGTGTGTTGTGTGTTGTGTGTTGTGTGTTGTGTGTTGTGGCTTGTGTCTTGTGTCTTGTGTCGTGTGTCTTGTGTCTTGTGTCTTGTGTCTTGTGTCTTGTGTCTTGTGTCTTGTGTCTTGTGTCTTGTGTCTTGTGTCTTGTGTCTTGTGTCTTGTGTCTTGTGTCTTGTGTCTTGTGTCTTGTGTCTTGTGTCTTGTGTCTTGTGTCGTGTGTGTCTTGTGTGTTGTGTGTTGTGTGTTGTGTGTTGTGTGTTGCGTGTGTGTTGTGTTGTGTGTGTGTTGTGTTGTGTGTGTGTGTGTGTGTGCTGTGTGCTGTGTGTGTGTTGTGTGTTCTGTGTTGTGTGTGTTGTGTGTTGTGTGTTGTGTGTTGTGTGTGTTGTGTGTTGTGTGTTGTTGTGTTGTGTTGTGCTGTGTGTTGTGTGCTGTGTGCTGTGTTGTGTGTTGTGTGTTCTGTGTTGTGTGTGTGTGTGTTGTGTGTTGTGTGTTGCGTGTTGTGTTGTGTGTTGTGTTGTGGTGTTGTGTTGTGTTGTGCTGTGTGTTGTGTGTTGTGTGTTGTGTGTTGTGTGTTCTGTGTTGTGTGTTGTGTGTTGTGTGTTGTGTGTTGCGTGTTGTTGTGTTGTTGTGTTGTGGTGTTGTGTTGTGTGTTGTGTGTTGTGTGCTGTGTGTGTGTGTGTGTTGTGTGTTCTGTGTTGTGTGTGTGTGTGTTGTGTGTTGTGTGTTGTGTTGTGTTGTGTTGTGTTGTGTTGTGTTTGTGTTGTGTGTTGTGTGTGTGTGTTGTGTGTTGTGTGTTGTTGTGTGTGTTGTGTTGTGTTGTGTGTGTGTTGTGTGGTGTGTGTGGTTTGTTGGTGGGTTTGTGTTGTGGTGTGTTGTGTGTGTGTGTGTGTGTGTGTGTGTGTGTGTATGTGTGTGTGTGTGTGTGTGTGTGTGTGTGTGTCTGTTGGTCTGTGTCTGTGTCTGTGTCTGTGTCTGTGTCTGTGTCTGTGTCTGTGTCTGTGTCTGTGTCTGTGTCTGTGTCTGTGTCTGTGTCTGTGTCTGTGTCTGTCTGTGTGTGTCTGTGTCTGTCTGTGTTTGTCTGTCTGTGTGTGTTTGTGGTGTCTGTGTGTCTGTGTGTGTCTCTGTGTCTCTGTGTCTCTGTGTCTCTGTGTCTCTGTGTCTCTGTGTCTCTGTGTCTCTGTGTCTCTGTGTCTGTGTCTCTGTGTCTCTGTGTCTCTGTGTCTCTGTGTGTCTCTGTGTCTCTGTGTCTCTGTGTCTGTGTCTCTGTGTCCGTGTCTGTCTCTGTGTCTCTGTGTCTCTGTGTCTCTGTGTCTCTGTGTCTCTGTGTCTCTGTGTCTCTGTGTCTGTTTCTCTGTGTCTCTGTGTCTCTGTGTCTCTGTGTCTCTGTGTCTCTGTGTCTCTGTGTCTCTGTGTCTCTGTGTCTCTGTGTCTCTGTGTCTCTGTGTCTCTGTGTCTCTGTGTCTGTGTGTCTGTGTGTCTGTGTCTGTGTCTGTGTCTCTGTGTCTGTGTCTGTGTGTCTGTGTCTGTGTGTCTGTGTCTGTGTGTGTGTGTGTTTGTGTTTGTGTTTGTGTGTTTGTGTGTTTGTGTGTTTGTGTGTGTGTGTTTGTGTTTGTGTGTGTTTGTGGTGTGTGTTTGTGTGTGTTGTTGTGCTTTGCGTGTCTTTGCGTCCTGGTGTCTTGTTTGTTTGTGTGTCCCGCTCATTATGTTGTACATGTTTTCTGGGATGAGTTTCTGGATGCTGCGAGTCACCTAGGACTACTCGGAGCCTTTCTCAGTGTACTACCTCCTGCTGCTGCAAGTTGTGGTGGTCCTCTCCTTTGCCCTGGGCAGCGCCATTGCGGTACGTTTGCACCGGGCGGGGCATTTCCAGGCCAGGCATCTCAATTGTTACCAGGGTTCTTTGGTCCACCACCTGTTGCTATCCGTTTGGGAAGGCCCCGGGCAGCACGTAGATTTTGACAGGGGGAACGAGAATTACTGCCAGACGTCCCTGGCAACCCATATTTGACCTATTTTCTGTCGCACATACTCATACAGCCTTGACCAAACAACAATGGGAGTCATACGCCATACGATGTTTTTGTTTGCTCAATTTCAATGCTTTGTCATACAGGTTTCGTCGGGTAGCATAAGCTGTCAGACGGACTGCCAGACTTTTACAGGAACCATCCGGCATGTCCCCCTTGCATGCAAGCTGACGCATGGAATCCCTCAAGCATCAGATGGCCCACCTCCGTTTTTCGCGTTAGTGCCAGTATACACCGAGATTTATAGCCCTTTCAGGATCGTCTGGCAGTTAAACTGCGTGATAACCTGGAAAGATCGCCAGGAAAGACAGATAGCATAAAGATAATCAAGCCACAGTTGGACTGTTTGCTTGCGCATTGTTCCGGCGTCGTTCGTTTCTGACATGCCATCCTTCCATTCTCAGCATGTTGAGCCGGCTGTTTTCCGGAACAAAGTTGGTCTTTTCAATTTGAATATGGCAACATGGCAATCGAAAGTGGACAAATGCCTGAATCTCTTTTAGTTCAAGGCACTGAGGCTCATATACCCCAACTTTTAAGCACCCGCCGGACCCTATTGTTTCCTGCGTTCCTAACGATTCAATCAGTTAGACCAATAGAAGGGCCTATTGCTCGAAGGTTTCATTGTGCTGGGCGCATTGGATGTGAGGAGCAGACGCGGGATCGAGATGACAGACTGGATCCGATGCCAATGCAAATTGACAAAGCATGGATGTAAATCGGCATCCGAAGTGGCCATGCACGACTGTCATGTTTTCCTCAGCTGTTTCCCTCTGCTGTTTCCCTCTGCCAGCATCCCAAAGGCAGGGTGTGCGAAAGACTCTTGTCATGCAGCTTGTTGACTCGTGATCGACTCAACTCCTTCCTCAGCTTACTGAAGTCTCAGGAGTGAGAGGAGTTGTCCGGGAGCCGGGAATTGTAACGTTGTGTATCGCTGAATTCCTGACCGTTTCCATTCGGAAGAAGTGGCGCCCCTGGGCCTTTTCATTTTGGGGTTGGTTGACGTTCGAGTTGGACACCCTGTGGTAACAGTCCGCTGGCTGGCTTGTTTCATCGCTTTCCGGACTCTGGTTCCAGCGCACAAGGCATTTGATTTGCGTGACAGATTCTTCCCGGAGTGCGGTTGAAAAGACTCGGCATGACCTTTCTGATCACTGCATACGTCGCGAGAGTGTGGCAACGTTGCATGAGGGGGGGGGGGGGGGCAGGGATCAGGATGGCTTGATCGATGCGCCGATGCACCAAGCAAATCCAGTCCAGCTCAGCACTTAGAACTGTTAAGCTTAGCTTTGATCCGGAGTAAGCTTATACATGGGCCTTAAGAGTGTTAAGAGCACCCCGCTGCCGTGTTTGTACTTCAATGGGTGGGGTTACCACCCTAATATTCTTGCCAACCTAGGCGAACCTAGGAATTAGAGATTGAGCAGTGGCAATGCTAAGTTTAGCAATGGCAATACCAAATTTAGCACTGTGAACCTAAGATTCAGTATTGTCGATACTAAGTTAAGTATTGGCATCGGAAAATGAGATCAAGCATTGGCAATACTAATCTTGGAATCTGAAAGTAAGGCTTGGCAATACTCAATTTAGAATTGGCAATACTAAATTAAGTACTGGGAATCTGATAGTAGGTCTAGCAATTATCATTTTGGAATTGGCAATACAAAAGTACTGAGAATCTGAGAGTAAGGCTTGGGAAAGGTCAGCCCTGCACATTTTAGGCCCGGCCGAAGGGCGGCCATGTTAGTTGCCCGACGCCGATTTTATTTTCCCCTGGGGGG